TTATTCTCCCAACCAAATCTCCCGGGTCTACTGCCCGGGAGATTCGTTCTCCCAACCAAATCTCCCGGGTCTACTGCCCGGGAGATTCGTTCTCCCAACCAAATCTCCCGGGTCTACTGCCCGGGAGATTCGTTCTCCCAACCAAATCTCCCGGGTCTACTGCCCGGGAGATTTGTTCTCCCAACCAAATCCCGGGTCTACTGCCCGGGAGATTTGTTCTCCCAACCAAATCCCGGGTCTACTGCCCGGGAGATTTATTCTCCCAACCAAATCTCCTGAGTCTATTGTCCGGGAGATTCATTCCCCCAACCAAATACTGGGTCTACTGCCCGGGAGATTTCAAGGGCGCCAAAGGGTCCTCTTACCTCAAAGATAATGGATTGGTTATTCTTTTTGAGGTAGAAGGCAAAGACGTAGGTGTACATGAGCGTGGCACGGCATTGGCAGAGGACGTCGACCGCTTTCTTCAGGAACTGGACTTCGATCCAGGACATGTTGTGCTGCTGCATCTCCTCCATCTTCTGCTTGACTTGGGCGTAGAGTTTGTGCTCAAAGCGCAGGCTCTGCATGTGGTTCATGTAACGGTTGCAGTAGAAGAGGTACCTCTGAAGGGCGGCTCTGGAGCGCTGCATTTGATTCCCCATTAGCGAAATGGAAAAGCGAGAATTAAAGCAGAGCAATCCCAAGGGGATCCTCGGGGTGGTGGTGCAGGGATTCCCTTGAATGCCTGAACGAGGCAAGCCTTGACCTCGTTCAGCGAGTTCTCCAGGTGAAGCTCTGAACCTGATGCATTGCCTTTAGGAGGCTTATAGAGTGCTCCTGGGGGCAAAAAATGAGCAAAAACCAGCCCATTTTTCGCTAATGTTTGCCCTCCCCGGCCCCCAGGACCACTCTGGAAGCCTCCTAAAGCCCGTGCATGGCCGTTTTTGCAAAGGGAGAGGGGTTTCGGGAGGCCAAAAATGCTGTATTCAGTGTATAAGACGCACCCAGATTTTCAGCCTCTTTTTTTTGAGGGAAAAAGGTGCGTCTTATACTCCAAAAAATACAGTAAATCGGACCACTTTCGGGCTGGAAGCTAAACCCTACTCCACATTCTTCATCTGGTCAACCAGAGAGAGATCGAGCCAGCGGTCAACAGCTTCTGGATGCAGAGGGTTGCCAAGAGTGATGAACTCACCTCTTGGGCATCTCTTGCTGCCTTGGCATCATCTTCGTTGTAGCGGTTGCAGTTGTACCTGAAAGAAGGTTTGTGAATAGGTAGATTTCTAAAACGATCCTTCTCGTTTGTTATCGGACGGGCCAAGTTCTGGGTTCGTTCAGTGGCATATTATTGTAAACAAGACAAATATCTCTTGGGTTGTCTTTGATAGGCTTCAGGGCCTAACAGCTGACTAGACAAGTGTTTCTCAACCTAGACCAGGGGGTCAGCAAAACAGAACAATTAGTTCAACTACATATGCTAGTTCTGTGGCCGCTCAGGAAATAAGTCAGGCACGGGAAAGATTTGGGGGCTCCCCGTGTTTTCTTTTCTGTGGGAAACGGGTCCAAATGGCTCTAGTGTTTAAGGTTGCCGACCCCTAATCTAGACAAGTGGACTTCAATTCCCAGAATCCCCCAGCCAGCAAGAAGGACCACTTCAGGTCCAAAGCATCCTTCTCAGGATGCCAAAACAAGGCAGGAAACAGAGGTAAATTTCAAATCACACCATGCTGAGTTGATCGTTCAGCATTTCTTCAGCTTATATGGAACGCTTTCTCCGCGGAGGACTTTTGAATTATTCACTCCACAATTTCTTGCACATGCTGGCTGGGGAATTCTGGGAGCTGAAGCCCATGCAGCTTAAAATTGCTAAAAGGCTGAGACAAACCAGAGTAGGACTTCTCTGAAGATCCTATCGTCTCATCACAGAGTTTTTTTAAAAAATTGCTTTCCATCAATTAGGCAGGAATTATCTGTTGAGGCTCACCCCTCAGACGGAAAAACGTTGCTAACCATCCAACACAATGGTGGGTTGAAAGCGGTACGCCCTGGTATGGGCGTATCGGAGCCTGCCCGGAGCACTGGATAACCACCCACCCACCTGAGTTCCTTACCTGTCCTTTAAAGCAGTGGTTTTCAACCTTGGCAACCTTAAGCCTGAAGGACTTCAACTCCCAGAATTCCCCAGCCAGCTTAGCTGGCTGGGGAATTCTGAGAGTTGAAGTCCTCCAGACTTAAGATTGCCAAGGTTGGAGACCACTGCTTTAAAGCCTTTGGCGCTTCCGCGCAGGCGCATACAGCAGCTGGAGCAGCTGGAGGCTTGGGGAGGCGTTGCTGGCAAGTATAACGCGTGCATGCACCCCGCGCTGCACGTGTCCATGTGGGCAACGCCGGGCCCGTTCCAACCGTACCACCATTGACCCAACAGCTCCCAAACCCCCGTAAGCGTTTATTTAAACGTACCAGGCAGATCCATGCGGCTCCCACGGGCCGAGACACACCCAGCAAAACTCTGCTTTACAATTCTGGTTCCGACAGACCATGTGGTTGCAGCCGCCATCTTTTTCGATAGTCACGTGGCATTTGGGACACTCCTGCAGACAACAGGAAGAGCGGCGGGATCAAAAGCCAGCAGGGCATTATTTTTCTTATTTAAAAAACCCATTATTATTACTATTAATCACCCCTATTATTAGTGGTGGGGAGACGGGGGGGGGGGGGGGGAATAAGACTTAAGGGAGATAAGTCAGTGGAGGGCGGATGAAATTAAGAGAGTCTTTGGATTGCACATTTAAGCCGTCAAACGGCTTCCCGCCGCTGCCTTAAACAGCCCAAAAAGTTGCTCTCGCGTAATGAGAACCCAACCAGTAAGAATTCCACTGCTTCCAGCTCAACTTTTATAGAAAAATCTTCATGTGGTAATCGCCGTGTCGCTTAGTAAAGGTTCCCCTCGCACAGATGTGCTAGTTGTTCCCGACTCTAGGGGGCGGTGCTCATCTCCGTTTCAAAGCCCAAGAGCCAGCGCTGTCCGAAGACGTCTCCGTGGTCATGTGACCAAAGGCACACGGAACGCTGTTCCCTTCCCCCCAAAGGTGGTCCCTATTTTTTCTACTTGCATCTTTCAAACTGCTAGGTTGGCAGAAGCTGGGACAAGTCACGGGAGCTCTCTCCGTTACGCGGCACTAGGGATTCGAACCGCCGAACCTCTGATTGGCAAACTCAGCGTCTTAGCCAACGTGTCCCTACTTCTGTGTCGATTACCAGTAGATTAATCTACTACTAATTTTCTTTCATTTATAGCTAGGCCTTGCAAAAATGTTTCTTAGTCTGGGCCATTTTAAGATGTGGGCATTCTGGGAGCTGAAGCCAAACACAAAACGATGCAGATTGAGAAACACTGGCTTGTAATATTAAATAAATTCTGGACGCATTGACAAGCCCCGGGAGAAGGATGGTGAAGACACTCAGCACTTGCCCATCAAGGCAAGGACCACTGTAGTCCAACATTTTTGTTTCTGGCTAACAAAATTCTGCCAGGATGCTCCTCAGAAGGAAACAAACTCATCCCTCTCCCTTGTTTCTCCTACTACTGTATGCGGATCATAAGCCTGAAGGATTCTCCAACCCTCCCTGAATTTATCCAAATCCCTCTCAAAACTAACCACACTAGTGGCCATCGCCCTGCCTTGAGGTCATAAAGTCCAGAGGTTACTGATGGGGTTAAGTAAACAATGGTTTGAATCAGGTATACCAGTTGGCACCGATCTCTAACCTGTCTACTTTCTTCAGGTCGTGTATTATTTTTTTTCCCCCACACACACCTTAACCAGTTCCTCTTCTCCGCCACCGACAGCGAAAGACTGGACAGAGTTTGCTGAAGAGACTGTTACCTAGAAGGCATGAAACGGGCCACCCGTTTTGAGATGGGACCCATTTCCAAAAATCTGAGGTTAGAAAAGGCTGCGTATCTCTAGAGAGACCACAGGTGACGTTCTGCAACTGGCACAGGATTCCTCCGTAAGCCAGGGTTGCCTGAACCCTGGGAAAGGCACCGTAGATCAATACGGCAATGGATCAATAGCCAGACTAGAGCAGAAGACGCCTTCCTGCGTTTCCACAAGTGGCAAAAACAGGACACATTCCTGATCTGAGTTGCCTTTAATCACTGCAGGTTGGTTCATTCTCTTCGGTTAGACCCGGGATTGGCTGACTTCGGCCTTCTTTGGAGGACATTTTTCGCCCTCCCCAGGCTCCGGAGGTTTTATAGGAGCTTGGGGAGGGCGAAAAATGTCCTCCAAAGAAGGCCGAAGTCAGCC